GTTTCAGCGGCTGCGTGTTCGCTCAAGTTCAGTTTTCTTCTTCTTTCATTCTTATTAATAACAATTCCGCTGCCTTCAAGCAGCTCAGCCTAGTTTTCAGGTTTACTTGTCTACACTTCGATAGGTAACTTCAGTTCCAAGTCACTTGGACTCAGTGTTAGTACTCGCAAAGTTTTCAGTCACAACCACTTTGCCTCAGCATAATTTAGAATTTCTTTCTTTCATTTTCTACCTTTGTTGCATTCACCACAGTTTCACTCTCTTGCTGTCTCGGGAGTGTCGTGAATTCGATCTTACGTGACATTCGCGAATGCTAAAATAACTCGAGTTTGAATGTTTCACGTAACTGTTCTCCTTTTTTTGTCTATAGCTATATTTGCCATGGTGATGTGCAGTGCTGGCAGCTTTTGACGCGCATGCTTGATCCTTTGGCGATGATGTTTTTCGGCTGGCTGACTCCACTCGAGGAGTTTCAGTTTTTGTTCTAATGGTACGTCTGACGACGATGAAGTCCAATCCTTGCTGCTCTGTGTCCAATGTCAGTAACAATTAATTAATTCAGTAACGATAGAGCTACAATAATTATTGTTGAGCTCTCTCGACTCAGCGAATAGAAAAACTTCAGTCAAACAGTATTTTGTGAGTGGCAATCAGGCCGGGAAATTTCAAACTGTATTTATGCAACCACAACTAACACCACCAGTTACTACACAATCAGTAATCAGTAAATCAATACATCAATAAATTAATCCTTGGCTCTCCCCCCGAGTCTTGGGAAAAAAATAATGAATAAATCGCTTACGTGTCGTGTGCAGTTGATCGCCTGGCCGTTGCTGTTGCCACTGGTGGCAGATGCCGTTGGACACGCCAGCACGACGTAGACGCGGGCGTCGTTGGCCGCCAGCCACGGTTGCCAGGCGACGAGCGCCACGGTTGCCGTGGTGAAGGTGACGCTCAGGTTGGCGACGGGGGTCTGCGGCGTGGCGGTGCTGTCGGCGGGCGACGGCTGTGCTGACGTCTCGTCGGAAGCGGTGGTGGAATCCACTGACACAAACACTGGCACATACGTGAAATCGTGCATATAAATAAAGGAGGGCAAAAGGTTGTTGTATATTTTATTCATACCGTAAAATCCCGCCAGAGCGCCCCAACCTCCGCCACCCTTCAAGTAGGTCCAGGTGGGGAGGGGCGGATGGGCGAGTCCTGCTTACCGCATTCAGTAGAAAAAGTACTCACCCTACGAAAATTGTTCGTGCATCTCGTACACCGACGTAAGTCCAACTAACTGGCAGGGCAGGGTTGGGCCTTTTTCTTTTTCTTTTAAATTTCATATTGGGAATTTACCCTTCCAAGTTTGGCATTTTTTCATTAATTTGAAAAAGTATCAGGTATCTCGTGCACCGACCAAAGGTCAAGAGCCGGGAGTCTAGACCCATCGAAACTCGGGGTTTGCGCGAACCCTGGTCAAGAGGGTGGGCACTGTTGCGTACATTTCCAGCGGGGTCGAGCACGTGTCTGCAGTACAGTACGGCATCACAGAGTTATACGAGGTTACAAGAATCACTTCCCTGACAGGAAGTCAGGGAAGGGCGGATGGGAGAGACGGGGCGCTCTGGCCGGATTTTACGGTAGTGGAAGTCAAAACAGGCATAATGCCTGATAACATTGGGCCCGATGTGAATAAAACAATTTTAGGTTACGAGTTATGATCGACTGTCCACCAATGTAACCTCTCTAATATACATTCACCAATTGCTTTATTTATTCATGATTAATTTTATACTGGCTCAACATCCCTGTTCAGATCTGTAAAATATTCGTTGTATTGGTTTGACGGGAATATGCAAACCGAAAAAAAAGTCCGACGGAAAATCTACTGTCACCACCAGGACACCAACCAGGGACCTTCGCTTGAGGCCAGCGATAGTCTAACTAGCCACTGAGCTATGACGTGGCTGTAATCCCGGCAGAGACCAGTAACAACAAAAAAACACTAAAAAATCTGTGGACAGAACTGTTTCGTCCTTTGTGGACTGGCCAGCGTCCATTCAGGGTGGTTGTTTCATGACGACTTATCCCGTAGTTGGCACTGCCAGGCTAATTTAAAAAACATTGTGAACATTTAAAATCTTGTAGGACGCATCACGCAGCTTCATAAGTAAAAAATTGGTTGTGAGCAACACTGGCTCACGCTCAAATCACTGCTTTTCACCAGAAAAATATTTTATTTCAACGTTTCGGTCATGAAATAACCATCATCAGGAATGAAGTGGGCACACCGGTTAGGACGGGTTAATAAATGAGGAGCGCTGCGAACTGATAACAAATCACACCTGCATGCACTATTACGAGAGAGAGAACAAAATATTTTTCATATATAATATTTTTCTGGTGAAAAGCAGTGATTTGAGTGTGAGCCAGTGTTGCTCACAACTAATTTTTTATCGTGAACATTTGTTAAAAAATGGACTCGGATGGAGAGCCAAGGATAAATTTATAGAAAAGAAAAAGGACCATGAAACTAGAAGTTGCGCTATAAAACGTCCACTAATACCACCAGTCACTAAAGAGTCGGTCAGTGCCGTGCAATGTGATCGCATGAGCTGATTATTTAGTGACTGGTGGTGCTTACAGCTGAACATAATCTCTAGCAGGCGCGTAGCTCGCATAGGACACGGGGGGCACATGCACCACCTAAAATGTTCGGCCTAGATTCAGCATGCACATAATGACCATGAATGACATGCACCAGCCATGCTACACACATGGCTGTGCACCCCCCTCCCCCCCTAAAAGGGGGGACCAGCTACGCCCCTGTCTAGCAAAAGTTTCCCGTGACTGCGGTAGAGACACATCTGGAGAAATGGCCAACGTTTCCACTTAAACTAACAGCATTTAGTTCTGTTTTGGGATTCTGGAGAAAGAGCGAATGGTTTTTAAACCATGACCAAGCCTGCCACCATACAGGAATAAGCACCTTGCACGGGATCGGTGCAGCCGATTGTGCTTTTACAGTCCGCGCGGGCACAGCGCCAAAAGGAGACCCCGTAGAGGTTACAGAATATAGTAAAACCTGGTTTAAGCGACCACCCCACGGTGCCAGCAAAAGCTGTCGTTAAAATCAGGTGGTCTTTAGAACCAGGTCCCACAGCGTCTGTGTAGAACTCTCGGTGCATGGAAAAACGGTCATTAAGAGCAGGTGGTCGCTAAACCCAGAGGTCGCTTACACCGTGTGCTACTGTGCACCGGGCAAAAAGGGACCTGGTAGAGGTCACGAACGGGACCTCTACCAGGTCACGGACAACACCTTTACCTGATGTGTCTTGCGGCTTGGGAGTGGTCGTCGCCGACATCGTCGATGCCATCGGTGTGGTCGTAGGTGCCATGGTCGTAGGCGGCTTGGTACTAACAGGCGATGGCACGGCGGGTAAGATATACCAGGGTACAGACGCGTTTACTTCCGGCCCAGCCCCTCCGCTGGAGTAAGCGTCAATGGTGGCGGTCAAGGTTACGTTGTCTTTGATATCCTGTACTACGAACGAATGGGAAATTTTGGACGCATCGGCGATAAAAGTATCGATTTTATTATCATCTTCGTACAGCCATAGGGAGAAGTCTATCGGTTTGCCGTTCCAGTCACGCGCATTCAGCGGCTTCCATGACACGTAGAGGTACCAGCTGCTCTCGTTTTTCTTCATGGCATTTGGCAAGCAGCATCGCTGCTGTACCACGTCTAGGATCACGGCGCCGGGAGCTGTGCAGAGACAACGGCAAAGACAAGGGGAAGAGCGGCAAAGAAAAGAGAAAAGTCACATGCCTGGATTGGTGTCACCCTCTAGGTGGTCTACCGACTGTGAAGCAGTGCGATCTATGGGGTCACCTGCTCGGCGTACATCAAGCTTAGAGCTTGCGCCCATCCCGTGTTGGTATACTAGAACCATAGTGTCTTGCATTAAAGCCGGTCTCATATAGAAGCCTCGTTTTGAATACGAGCCTGATTTTCAAGATACACTGTCGGGCCGTGAGTGTCGGCATACTAGCCTGACCTCCGTGTTGACACGCATAGAGATACCTGACGTGAATAAAAGCCCGGCCCGGACAGCGGCTTCTACAGGAATAAGCCCGGCGTTAATACGCGACATTACGGGGCACGTCAAGTGCAGATGTGTACAGTAAATCCTGCCGTCACCGGACGACGCCCCTGGCGCAGCGCAACCCATCCGGATATGACAGGATTCCGCTTGGTCCAGGGATGCACGTTCGATCCGCAGCACGTTGGTGCACGGAAAGCTTGTCGGGTCAATACACTCACACGTCGTTAACCCGGGCGGTGCCCGTAACTTAGAATTTTCCGTAACTCCGAATCACAAACAGTTTGATGGGGGGGGGGGGGGGGGAGGGGAGGCAATATATATGGCATATGGCATCACTATTTCCACAAGAAGTGGGAAAAGAGCAGTAATATTTCCACAGAAACTCTCCGAAAAGGTGCCCGGTAGACTGAAGTACCCGTAGCGTCCGGGTCTGGATAACCCGACGTATGAGTGTAAGAATTCCGCTAGGTACAGGGTGCGGTAAGCACAGGCTTTAGCTGTACAATGTCAATACGTGACCGAGTAGAATGCGTTCGCCCGTACTGCACTTCAGTACCAGCGGAACTCCAGTACGAAGTCTCGCCGCCATGATCTGCTGCCTCCAGCATGCGCACACTCGCGCGTTGAAAACACGAACGACTTCCTCACCGCCGGTTACGGCACAATGTCAGGGGCGGTGAAACCGGCACGCCTGGTTAGGCCAAGGCCGGACTAACTCTTTGGCCATCAGCGTGTGTTTACTGATGAGGAGGTAGTGAGTGCGTTCGATTATGCCCGTGAATCAATTCATGAATCGATTCACGCTATTCACATCATCCCATGTGAATAGCCCCATGTGAATAGGGTGAATGGATTCCGAATCGATTCCAGGGCTCATGACATGAAAATCGAACGACGCGAATGCATGCGAATGGATTCATGAATCAATTCAAGCGCATCATGGAACGCACTCCGTGAGTACCCGCTATATCCTACTCCCACGTATGAACGGACGTGGTGTGGCCGGACCAATCGAAAGCCGCATGTGCCGCTCCTGAAATATACGTAATGGTGATGGTGCTTCTCCCCCCCCCCCCCCCTCCCCCACTGTGCTAGTACGTCGCCCTGCTCATTTTTGCGATGCTTGTCTTTTTCAGTTCACACAACAAAACGCGGCCAAGAAATTAATCGAACGTTCCGGGTGCTCGCTGTGCCCGTACGTTGCGTTTTCTGTGCCACGGCAAAAGCAGAACGTGAAAAAGAAATGGGTGAACTCAGAACTGTTTGCTTCCGTGCTCTCGCACGCGAGGTTCCGCTGCTATCCGCCAGCACCTCGGTTATAACAGTTAGAGTGCTGCAGAAAGACGCATTGAGCCCTACCTGCTGCAGTTGTGTTGATAAAGTGGGTTTTCTGTGTCGAATCACCGGCCTTCCAGGAGAGGACCATGTACCGAGTGTACGCTCTCAAGCCGGAGAACGTAACCTGGGTGTCCGAGCAGCTTTCCATGTGGGTATCGTTGCTCGCCACACTGCTGAGTATTGCACAGCTTTGTGCGGCGGGAAAGGAGACTGTGACCGACGTCGCATTTGCCGACAAGGTCGCGCCGAAAGCTGCATGCGACACAGCACACGCATACACACACACACGTGCACGCGCACACACGCACACACACACACACACACACACACACACACACACACACCTCAGACCTCAGACCTTCCCATCACGGAAGCGATGATAGCGAACAGCTATGTTAGACATAGCAACTTGTGCTGGGATTACACCATTCAACAGCTTGCAAGGCTGATGAATTGACCGCCACTATTTTCTAGCCTGGTATCCACCACACAGCTGATTGAAGTGGCTTTTTCTGGCCAGTAAATCCCTATTTTAATTTTTTTAATTTTTTTACACACACACACGCCTCACCACATACTCCGGCATACACTGGCTGTTGGTAACCACCCAGCAGAATGAAAGAAGAGCTAGGAGAATGCGAAGGAGAAGAAAGACGTGTGTGACCATAATCGTCGGGAATCGAACCCGCAACCTATCGATTGGAAATCGCTGCACATACCACTGCACCACACACACACACACACACACACACACACACACACACACACACACACACACACACACACACACACACACACACACACACACACACACACACACACACACACACACACACACACACACACACACACACACACACACACACACACACACACACACACACACACACACACACACACACACACACACACACACACACACACACACACACACACACACACACACACACACACACACACACACACACACACACACACACACACACACACACACACACACACACACACACACACACACACACACACACACACACACACACACACACACACACACACACACACACACACACACACACACACACACACACACACACACACACACACACACACACACACACACACACACACACACACACACACACACACACACACACACACACACACACACACACACACACACACACACACACACACACACACACACACACACACACACACACACACACACACACACACACACACACACACACACACACACACACACACACACACACACACACACACACACACACACACACACACACACACACACACACACACACACACACACACACACACACACACACACACACACACACACACACACACACACACACACGTTGAGCCGGAAGCACGTACGCATTGCAGTACACCAGGTGACCAGCAAAATAGAGAAAGCCGAGAAGATGAGTCCAGATGTTCAACGTTTCGTTTGTCCACACAAACATGCTGCAAAACGCAATACACGCAAGAATGCACGCGAGCGCGGACACGTGCGGGCACACACACACACACACACACACACACACACACACACACACACACACACACACACACACACACACACACACACACACACACACACACACACACACACACACACACACACACACACACACACACACACACACACACACACACACACACACACACACACACACACACACACACACACACACACACACACACACACACACACACACACACACACACACACACACACACACACACACACACACACACACACACACACACACACACACACACACACACACACACACACACACACACACACACACACACACACACACACACACACACACACACACACACACACACACACACACACACACACACACACACACACACACACACACACACACACACACACACACACACACACACACACACACACACACACACACACACACACACACACACACACACACACACACACACACACACACACACACACACACACACACACACACACACACACACACACACACACACACACACACACACACAC